GTGTGTGTGTGTGTGTGTGTCAAGAGAGAACTAAATAAATATAAAAATATTTCTTCAAAAATAAGAAAAAGAACCAGTTCTGTAGGGTGCAGGGCGTTTTTATAAAGTGGGTCTCAAGAATACAAAATTAGAAATAATTGTATATTGACCATTGTAATGTATGATCTCCCTTAATAAGCCCCATAATTGTAAAAAAAAAAATGTAATATAGAATTCTATTCTATTCCTGGTGCCTTTACTCTAGACCTTTTAGGAAGCTCTTTTATCTTTTCATACGACATTATTTCAATTGTGTGAGCCCTTTTGGGCAGCAGTTAAAAACTACCCGTTGCTCTGTGGGAAGGGTGTCTACTCTGGCGGAGAGTAACAATCTCGGAAATCCACAGAGGCGCTTCTGCCCTGTCCTGTAGGATCACTGAGTTGGAACCAACTTGGTGGCGGTGGTGAGTTTGATGTTTTTGTTTTGATGAAGAATATTAGTTTGGAGGTGATAATTCATTAGACCAGGCTCATACACCAAACCCAAACCAAACTCACTGCCGCCAAGTCCATCCTGACTTCTGGCAACCCGATAGGACAGGGTAGACCTGCCTCTGTGAGTTTCTGAAACTGTAACTCTTGACAGGAGTCGAAAGCCTCATCTTTCTCCTATGGAGCAGCTGCTGGTTTCAAACTGCTGAGCTTGCAGTGAGCAACCCAACTCACAACCACTATCCCACCACAGCCCCTTCAGCTCACACACCGATAGGAAGTATTAAAGTCCAAACTTAGAACCTAGCTAACCACAAAACCCAGGTTTCCCCCCTCTAAACCCATGTCTGAAAGGTATTATCCACGCGTCAGCAGGATCAATCTTGATGTGCTGATCAACAGACCAGTGGCATACTACTGGACCATATCTTATATATTAAATAATGGAAGTCCACTCATTTTTCAAAAGCATCCCCAAGGTCAATCTTTGCAGCAGCTTTCTTTCTCTTGAATCCAAGAGAAAAAACTTCTCCAAAGTCATAAAGTCTACCATCGCTACTATAGTCGCCGGTTTGCCCTAAGGTGTTCCCAGGAACGCTAAGGAAGGAGCGCGCCCAGTGTGTATCCTTTTTAAACAACGCCTGTGTTTACTTCCCTCCCCAGGCTACTACATGTACATCGAGGCCTCCAACATGGTGTATGGGCAAAAAGCACGCCTCCTGTCCATGCCTCTGCGAGGGGCCGCGGGGAAACACTGCCTGACCTTTTTCCACCACATGTACGGGACGGGAACCGGCCTGTTGAGTATCTATTTGAGAAGGAAAGGTGACCGTGGGGAGTCTCTCTTGTGGAAGAGGAGGGGGGAGCAGAGCATTTCCTGGCTCCGTGTGCTGCTCGAATACAGCTGTGACAGGCAACACCAGGTAAGCCAAAAATAACGATTGTAAATCCCAGTCAAGTGATGGGAAGGGCTGCTAGCACATCTTGATGTTTTCTTCTTCTGGCTACCAGTGATATTCCCCCGCCCACCCTCCCCCGCGCCCCTCTGCAGGGTCATAGATGAAGCAGGGTTTGTGTGAGAGTAAACAGGACTGTTCTATAGATTGATTCCATCTGAGCCACGACTAGAAAGCTGGACGGGGACTCGGAGAACCACTTTGGGTACTTGGTGTCCTGCACGTTTCCAAACCAGCTCTTGCTCACTGACTGCCATTGAGTTGATTCTGAGCCACAGCGACCCTGTAGGACAGGGTAGAACTGCCCTGTGGGTTTCTGAAACCGTAACTCTTTGCTGGAGTGGAAAGTCTCATTTTTTTCTTGCGGAGCGGCTGGTGACTTTGAATGGCTGGCCTTGAGGTTAGCAGCGCAGGGCTCCCCTGTCCAAACAAGCGTCTCCCTTTCATCAAAAGCTGGCATGACCCGAAGAGTTGTCCCAACTTGTTCTTCCGTTCATCATTATCCACGTGCTTGCTTGTAAGAACTTTGGTTTGCAGGCTGCGGATTCAAAGTGTTTATGGTCCAGAGGAAGTCGCTGGCTGCTGGCTACCAATGGAAAGGTGGGAGGTTCGTCCCCACCCAGAGGGGCCAGGTGATGCACTTCCCCTAAATATCAGCCACTGAGCAGAGTTCAGCTCTACTGCACGTGAGTCGCTGGGAGTTGGCGCGGACACCACAGGAACTGGTACTGCCCAGAGGCCGTTTATAAAGCTTCCATCTGTTTCCATTAGTCCTTCTGTCACTGCATTGACTGTGAAAGGAGCGGAGAAAGTCTTAATCCTAAGACCTCTGGGTCTCCCCCAGGGTCTTCCCACGTGCTCGTGGTTAGCAGCCCAACATGTAACCACCATGCCACCAAGGCTCTACAGGACAGAGCCTTTTAAATTCCAGTGGTGGTGTGGAGCAGTTTAGAGAGCCCCCGAGCCCTGGTGACTATGAGGCAGACTCCACTCCATAGCGGTGAGTTTGCATTTAGTTGCCTCCGACAGTACCAGCTTCTCCTGCCAAGGTGAGGCAACAAGACAAGAGGTAACCTGTGGACTCCTGTTTGTGCCTGAAATTGCCCAATAGAATTGTCAGGGATGACCTCAAATGCAAAGCTCTGCTTCCACCTGGACCAGCACCCGTCCGCTCGAACTCCTGACTAACTGACTTGTGTTAGTCTGGGTACATTAGAGAAACAAATCCACAGAAACGCATATGTATAAGAGAGAGTTTTATATAAAGGGTAGGTACACATCAAGAAAACATCCCAACCCAGTGCTGCCCAAGCCAACAAGTCCAACATTAACCCATATGTCCGACACCAATCCACAAAGTCCTCCTCCATCTCACAAAACACACACTAGGACACCAACTGCAGTAGAAAAGCTGAATCAGCATCTCAGCGGTGGCAGGGGTCTCCACACGGCTGCTCCAGCACCCAGGGCTGCATCGGGGTAGGTCCATGTGGCTTCTCCTTAGGGATGTCTTGCAGGAAGTGAGCCTTGCCAGCTGAAGCAGGGAACTGGATATGGCAGCGGCACCCTGGTCTGACCATCACAAAGCAAGAGACCCGAGAACTAGAAAGGCGAGGCTCACCAAGCCATTTATCTCTCAGCCCTTCAATTAACCCCTCATGTGTTTATCAGCCAGGTTGGCACAATACACTTTAAGTATCTCATGACACCTCTAACCCAAATCCTCATGGGAAGAGCTACCCAACCTAAGGGTTTATTTTGTGCCACCATGGAACTAAACTTAATATTCTAACAAGGCAATCCTCAAGGACAGGGTGACACCCATGTGAAATTGTCCTCAACTGATGAAAAAGTAAGCACATGTAAGCCCTTGCTTACCTGGGTACCCAGTGTCCAGCACAGATTACAAATGTAAAAGAGGGCTTGATTCTATAGGAATGTGCTGTGGGGTTGGGAGCAAGACCGGTGCCACCCAAACCTAGAAGCAGAATTTTGGATGTGGCACAAACCTGTCTGGCATTGTTCACTACAGATTAGGAAGTAAGGCACATGTCAACTGTGCTTACCTTGCATATTGATTAATCTGACAATGATTCTACAGATCAACATGGGGAGAGAGTGACACTCAGGCAGCCTGATTGCATTTGTGGCATTGCATTGTTAAAAAGACCGAGTGGCAGAGGGAGGATGTGCTATTATCCAGGAAAGGCCCATTATCTCAGTGTGAATAACACAGAGAAAACTAGGGATATGGTGAAGAATAAGTAATAGCCCCACGAATTATGTTGATGGTAGTGATTTAATCTCTGTTTACAGAAGGAGAGTGAATCCTTCAGGACCTCACTAATATGTGTAATTGATCCTCAGAGATGATGGATTGATTCTGTTAGGCTACTAGGGCACTCATAAATTAAAATCACTGCGATTGAGTCAATTTCAACTCCTAGCAACCCTATAAGACCAAGTAATACTGTCCCTGTGGGTTTCTCAGACTGAAAATCCTTATGAGAGTAGAAAGCCTCGTCTTTCTCCCATGGAGCAGCTGGTGGTTTTGAACTACTAACCTTGTGGTTTGCAACCCATTGCATAACCCAATGCATCATCAGGGCTCCTGGGGCATTCCTATGTCTACTCTATTCAGATGTTCCCAAGGCTAAAAGTGGAGACTGTAACCGGAATGAGTGGAATCTGAAGTGCTGTGGGTGATACTTTTGTAAATCATCAAGTAGTGCTGATGCTCGGGTCCTCTAAAAATCGGCTTCTGGGGATTAGGTGCTTTCTCAGCTTCCAAGGTCAGGTTTGGGCACAGGGCTTTGCACATACTAGGCTTGCCTTTGAAATGTCTTTCAAATACAAAATAAAGAGACATCTGGACTGGCATCTTGGGGAACTCAAAAGCCAAGGGTGTAGAATGCCCTTGGGGGGTTACAGCTCAGCAAACATCCCCTTTGGCTGAGAATGAAACAGCTGTGTGTGTCCGTCTGTCTCAGGGAATTTTCCTCTGGACCTAAGATTCTTCAGAACTCTCAAACAACTGCAAGCAGACCAGGCTGAATCGGTGGCTCCAGGAGACCCTAGTGTCTAATTAAACCCAGAGAGCCTTGGGCACTCACGCACTGGACATCTTCTGCAAGAGAGATGCCATGCCAATTGCTGTGCATGTGTTCTTTCACTGGATAGCTCCAGTTTACAGATGGGGAACAGTAAATGCCCACTGGTACGTGGCAGAGAGCAAATCCAAACTCAGATCGGTCACCTTCCAAAGGCTACAATCCACCGAACCCAAACCATTGTCATCTTGTCCATTCTCACTCATAGCCATCCCTAGCGCTGCTCCCTAGGGTTTCCACGGATGTAAATCTTGATGGGAGCAGACAGCCTCATCTTTCTCTCTCAGAGCAGCTGGCGGGTTTGAACCACTGACTTTTAGGTGAGCAGCCCAAGGATTAGCCCACAGCGCCACTAAGGCTCCTTCCTCCCAAAGGGTCCTCATGCTCCTGCTGTAACGTAAGCACTGGATGGACTTGGAGAAAGCGTATCCTCACTGAGATAGTTTATACACTTGCAAAGTGGGACAAACAATTCCTGCTTTGCTGCCATAATGAGAGTTAGAGGGAGGGTCAAGGGGGTGGGGGATGTGCATGAAACAGTTCTGTTCCCTTTCAAGTAGCAAAATATGAAAACATGTTATTATTATTCCTAAAGACCTATTCCCTCCAACATCCCCCTGGTCTTTTATTCATGTCACTGTGGCCGACCTGGGATTTCAGCATCCAGGCTGAACCCCTGCAGTGTGAGGCCAAAGTTGCTCAGTTAATAAATATTTATTGATCACTTGCTATTCTAGAAGCCGGGCATACTGTAATGAATAAAACATATCAAGTTCCTACTCTTTGGGAGTTCACATTCTAGTAGGGAAGTGATTTTAAAAGTAAATAAAAAATATATAGCATCACGGAGATAGGAAAAATGAAATCTTGATACGTAGGGCAATGTGGATGGAATGTGAAAACATTAGACTGAGTGAAATAAGGCAATCACAACAGGACAAATATTGTATGACCCCACTTACCTAAAAAGACCAGGAAGATGTCTAGAGACTCCTATTTAGGGCAAGAGGGAGAGGGAGGCTAATGGTGATGAAAGACTGCATTGAGTAAAGGTAGGGTGGCATCGCCAATTACTTACTGGCTGTCAATCAGTTGTCCACCACAAAATGTTGAACTGTCAAAACTTGTGTAGAAGATATATTTGCAACAATGACCAAAAATAAGAAATAGAGTCATTGCTGGGGCTGTTTCTGTCTAACTAAACATCTCGTGGGATTAATTTCCTAGGTTTGGAAGTTTGGGGACGTGGTTTCATGGGTCATTCCAGTTAACTGGCCTAATATTGATTCATGTTTCTGCTCTACCTCCTTGGTCGTGGTGTAGTGGCGGAGGTCTTAAAAGTTTAAAAGCAACCGTGGGAAGTCCAACCCTTGGAGCAACAGGAGAAGGAGAATCAAGAAGAGGAAGAGGCTATGAAATGCGTGTGAACAAACGCTGCTTTTGTCCAAGGATTTCATAGAGAAAATCATAGGACAGAATTTCACATTCTCACAGATTTGCTGGAACCACTTTCAGGGGTAGATGAACCCCTGAAACTATTGCCCTGGGATAATCCTTAACCCTTAAACCAAAAATATCCCCTGGAGTCTTTTTTTTTTTAATTATTTTATTGGGAGCTCTTACAGATATTATAACCATCCAAAATTTAATTGGATCAAGCATAATTGTACATTTGCTGCCACCATCATTTTCAAACATTTTCTTTCTTCCTGAACTCTTTGATATCAGCTCCCCATTAGCCCCTCTCTCCCCCACCCTACTTCCCCAGGTCATTGTTACATTATATATAAGTCGCGTTTTTCAGCACATTTAAAATGCAGTTTTTGTGGTAAAATTAGGTGCCTCAGCTGATATTCGGGTCAGCTTATACTCGAGTATATACGGTAACTAAAATTAAAATATATATGTATGAAGAAGAAAAAAGCCCATGAACTGAGATAGAGAAGTTTATCAGAAAGTAAGCATGAAGGGCATTGTAGGGCCTATATCAATTCCAGTCTAATGGGAATGCTATCAGTTCAAGGTCGTATGTTATGATTATGTCTAAAAGATCACTCCAGCTCTTTTGTGGAAAAGAGACCTTGGAGTCCAGGGGAATAGTCCTCATAAACTGGCTGGTGGGTTTATGCACTAGTGGTGGGGAGAAATCATTAGACGCCAACAGTGTTGCTTTTTGTATGGGATGAAGAGTTCGAGAAAAAGAGAAGAGTCTAGATGATTCCAAAATTTCTAACCTGAGCAATTTAGAATGGAGTTGCCCCTCACTAAGATGAAGAGTACGCCCATAGAGGTGAGGGCTGTAGGTCCAGGAGGGAAATTAGCAAGTGCTGTTTGGGTATGCTGAAGTTGTGATGTCTATTAAACAGCCAAATAAATGTCAACTACATAGTAGGATATGAGCCTGGGGGTGAGGGGCGGGGACAGAGCTGAAGATATAACATAGACATCGTGTGTGTGTGTGTGTGTGTGTGTGTGTGTGTGTGTGTGTGTGTGTATCAGAGGTCAGAGGGTGAGGGATTGGGTGTAGTTGACTTTGAGAGGTCTATAATACTGCTAAGGAGCCCTGGTGGTACAGCGGATTTGGTGTTGAACTACTAACTGAAAGGTGGGAAGTTCAAACCCACAGGCTTCTCTGTGGGATAAAGAAGAAGCAATCTGCTCCCGCGAAAATGTAAAGCCTCAGCTACCCTGCCTAGGGTCACTGTGAGTCAGAATTGGATCAACAGCAGTGGGGGGGCGGGTATAGGGTTTCTAGGGTCACTATGGGTCGGAACTGAGTCAGTAGCAGCAGGTTTGGGTAGTACTATTGCCCTTTGAGATTGACCCTATGGGGAAAACTTGCTGGTGGCCTCTAGAGGACATTCCAGTCATGCATATAAAAGAAACACTTCAAATTCCAAAATTTTAATCATGCTTCAATTTTAGGGATGAATTAAAGTGTCAAGCAGAACCTAGCACACTATGGGTCAATACACAAAAATCATTCTATTCTCTTTGGATTTTATCCTTATCTTTTCTTGTTTGCTTTAAAGTATTTTTCTTTGGGGTTTCTTATGGTTTTTGATCCACTGAAAGAAAATGTTAGGCAAATTCTCAGCTCACTGAGATATTAGCATCATGCATATTGTTAGTAATGTTGACTAACGTGCATTACAAATAACTATGTGCTGAGTTCCAGCTCTTGATTGAACAAACTCTTCAAACTTTCTTCATTCATGGGCTCTCTGTCTCAATAATGCTTTCCTTAGTGCCCCTCCACCCAAAGAAATAGCTCAGAGTTCGACTGCTTAAGTAGTTATGTCCTGACAAAAACTAGTTAGGTTCTAACATCTTTGAAGTCATTTAGAAAACGTTGTTGTTAAGTGTTGTCAAGTCCACCCTGACTCATAGCTACCCGATACCCAACAGAACAAAACACAGCCTGGGCTTCTACCGTCTTTCACAATTGTTATGTTTGAGCTCATCTTTACAGCCACTGTGTCAACCCATCTCATCAAGGGTCTTCCTCCATTTTCACTGCCTTCTACTTTCCCAAGCACGATGCCCTTTTCCAGGGACTGGTCTCTCCTCATTAATATCCAAAGTAAGACAAAAAAACAAACAAACCCCAAAACCAACATTTAAAAAATGTAGTTCTTAAATGACCACAGTGATGTATTAGCTGGATGTCTGTACTTGGGCACCACACTATTTCTCAACCCTTGGAATCAGATTGAATGCTCCCAGTTCATTTCATATTCCACATTGATTTTTCACATGTGTTTGCTTGATCACAGTGGCTACTAAAACCCCTGCTCTATAAAACATGCTGTCATCAAGAGGAAGGTGGAACAAATGCTGCCCTTTTGACCTTGGGCGGCCAAGGAGCACCTTCTTCCTGCTGTTAGCATTCACTTCATAGGCCTCTCTATTGTCCTGCTGAAAGTTGATCTTCAAGGGAGGGTTCAACTCCAGGCAACGGGGCGGGGGGTAGGGGTTGCCTAAGTAGAGCAAATGTGTTTCTGGACAGTTTTCAGTAACCACAGATCTCTATATAAAGCATTCAGGGGTTCACTAAGCATTGTTAGGGTGACCTTAGAGCTAGCAAAGTAACCTACTTTTCCCAGAACCCAAATACTCTTCTCAGAACCAAAAGTCAAAGCTCTTGTTCCCGGGCTCTGTCTCTGAGGCCACCGTATTTAGCATGCAGCATGAACTTCTGTGTTATATAAATCTAATTAGTATGCTTTGCTATTCCTATGTGAGTAACATCAATCATATTCAATTTCTCCACCAAGTACCACTCACAGGAAATTTTCTCAGGAGCCTAAGGAAACTTGGCTTCCCTGGGTAGTCCAAACGGTAAGGTGCTGACTGCAGGTCCAAATGCTGGCTCTTGCAGTCCATCCAGAGGTACCTCAGTAGAAGGACCTAATGTTCTACTTCAAAAGAGAGAAAGAGAGAAAATCAGTCATTAAAAGCCCCATGGAGCACAGTTCTAGTCTGAGACACCTGGGTGCCCAGGAGTCAGAAAGGAATCCCCTGAAACTGGTCGTTGTTTCCAAGGGACCTTCAGCCTCTGGCACCTCCATTTGCACAGGCACCATGAGCCCTAGGAAATGTTCTAGATGGGGAGGGTCGAGCAAGCATTTCTGGGAATTGCCTACAGAGATTTTGGAAGAAAGGGACCCGACTCTCCAAAGGTCCAATCATTTGTTGTAAATTTATTTTTTAACTCTAAATCACGATTCACTTCTGTATCTACGTTTGAGTTTGTGAATTTTGTATTCTTTTCCATCTAAACTTCCAGCCCGACTAACGGTGGATCTGCCCCTACCTGGCATTGCGCTGGCAGGATGCCTAGAGTTCTAATTCAAACTTAATTGTTTTTCAGATCATTTTTGAAGCCACTCGTGGGATATCAATAAGAAGCGATATTGCGATCGATGATGTTAAATTTCAGGCAGGACCCTGCGCAGGTGGTGATATTATTCTTAATTACATAAGCTTGATTGGAAATGGATTTTGCAAAACAGCCTCGACTGAGAAAATGCAAATTATGTATTTCTTTTGTTAGTACGAAAGAGAGAGAGAGAGAATATGCTTACCATCTCTTTGTCTTTCCTATCAGATATGGAAGACTCAGCTCAGCAATCATCAGGAGATGCGGAGGATTTAAATGAAATTGAGTATTAAGAATTGAATTAACTAAGTCAATAGACGCGTACCTCGCTTCAATCAAAATGACAACAAGATGAACGAATAGTGGGCAATTGGAACAATTCCCTAAGTTATAAAATGACTTGGGAGCACCCTTCTTCGATATTTTTGCAAGAATACTGACTCAGGGCTTTTTTTTTGGCACATGACAACTGTTACTAGAAGTGCAGGCTATTGGTTTTGCGTAGATCATTCATCTTTATGATTGTTCCCGTTAAAAATACAACTGTACTATAGTGTAGTCATTGTAAAGGATGCAAGTCAAGGGCACAATCAGATTGACAGGTGCTTACTTTAGTCTGCATTCAGTGAATGTATTGGGAGGAGAATCGCTCTTGTGGGTTTCCATTTGCATTCCAGGCATCATAAGTCATTCTAAAGTGTCCGTAGTATCCGCGGATTGTGTGCAGAGTTTTTTTTTTTTATGGTAACAAGTCAGTTTAGGAAAATAAAGTCTTATTTTCTATGGTTTTTCATAGAAAGGGAATATTAATGACAGTGTAAGTCAGTATTAATGAATGCTGCATTACAAGCTAATGCTACCCTCTTATCCCTCCTTTGAGCCACTTTTGAGAGTCACAATAAACTCACGGATAGAAGTTGTACCTTTTTTTGGTAGAGCGAGTTTGGAAATGATTATGCATGCACATCCAACGATTTTTAAATGTTCAACAACATTGCTGGTTTTTCTATAATAAATGTTTTGGTAAAGTTTAGAGAAACATGACTTCAAGAAGCCTCTAAACTACCACTTTCTGCTTACATTTTTAGAGACTTGTAAGTACATTTTTGTGAACCAAGACAACTCTTACGAAATTTTAAAAATTACTTAATAAAAAGAAGCTTGAAATACCCTTCCCTCGAAATCAACTCATTTCTGTGTTATTTTTCTTTTATGGGGACATCTTCACTCTGTAATTGCAGATTCTAATGCGAATGCTCATTCAATTAAAACTCACAATTCACAAATTCCAAATCACAATTAGTGTTTCCCCAGCCCTTTTAATAAGGAGACCTGGTGGTGCTGTCAGGGAAGCATTGAACTGCTGACTGCAAGGCAAGTGCTTCAAACCTACCAACTGCGCCAAGGGATAAAGATGATTCTGTCCATTCTCACTAAAGAGTTGCAGCCTCAGAACCCCATATAAGGTGGTTATGAGTTGCTGTGGGTTTGGTTTGGTTTCAACCCTCTTATTCACGACATGAACACTGGGAGACAATTCTTTTTCTTTCGGGTATTCTTGGCTATAATCTTTTTTATTTTTTTTAAACATTTTATTAGGGGCTCATACAACTGTTATCCCAATCCATACACACATCAATTGTGTAAAGCGTATTTGTACAT